GTCAACACCTGAAGCCATATCCGCCCCGAATCCACAGTTCGGGCCGGGCGCGAGCACAGGCTTTAGGGTTTTTGGGTTCAGGGTTTAGGGTTTTAGTAGGGTTTAGGGTTTAGGGTTGAGGGTTTTGGGGTTAATTGTTTAGGGTTTTAGTAGGGTTTTGGGTTTAGGGTTTTAGTAGGGTTTAGGGCTTTAGGGTTTTAGGGTTTAGGGCTTACTCATTCTGTGCTGCAGAAAGGGATCGAAATCAGGAATAATTGAGGGAATCATGATCATGGTTAACAGCAGGTTTGAGGAGGACCAGAATAATTACCGTTGCAGCGCATGAAGCAAGAGTGTTCGGTGTCGCGTGTCTGTAATTCTTGACTGTGTTTAACACACCAGCAGCAATCGCCATAATCGTGATATGCCCAATGATCGAAACGAAACTAGCAATCGCAAGAGGCGACAGTAGAAGCAGTTTTTGTACGTTTGTTCATCAGCTAGCAGTGCCAGCATCTTATCTCAGGTGAGACAAGTGCCCAAGATTGAGGTGCAAGAGGCTGGGGTACCCAAAAGCGGCAGTTTCGGATTGAGGGTTCGGTTTAGAGGTTAGGGTTTAGGGAAGGCTCAGGGAGTGTGCAGGGCTTCGTGAGGGTTTAGGGGTTGAACGAGGGTGCCGGCTTTGGGGTTGCGTGGGGGTTTGAGGTGTAGGGCTTGAATGAGGTACAGTATCCGGGTTTAGGCTTTAGGGTTTAGGGTAGGCGTAGAGGTCACAAAGGGCTGAAGGTCGTAAGGGGAGTGCGCAGCACAGGGCATGGGCATTGGCTCCATCCCTAAGTAACTGCAAGAGAACTCCAGACCCGGGACTTGCAACAAAGCCAAAGGCCAGCAAACCACCGGAGAAGCCCTAAACCCTAAACCCTATATGGAGGCTAGAGAGGCTCCGACCTGGAAACCCAAAGTCTCCGTGAGACAGAGACCACCGTCCCGCATTTTGACGTCACACAGGTCATGAAGGAAGTCAGCAAGCCCATCACGGAAGTCTATGAGAGGATCGTCGAGGTTTCCGGAAGAGTTCTTGTTGGGCATGATGGAGGTTAGAGTTTTTGGTGTAGGGGGCAATGTCGGGGCCTTAATAATTACCTATACTATATCGGGGGCTCCTTGTTATAGTTTTCGTATAACATACCTCAAAACCCTATTCTAATCATTAAGGCCCCTTTATTCGGGGGTCGGGCATCGGGTTCAGGGTCTCAAAGTTCAATGTTGCTTGTGGCTGTTTTCGATGCCTCTTCAGGGTGTAGAGTTTCACGGCGCATGATGCAATATGGCGTTCTGAGTAATTTTGTAATAGATCCCCCCTAGAATTCCCCACATTATCCCTAAACCCTAAACCCTAAACCGTCACAATAAATCAAACCGCAATGTACCACCAAAACCTCAAGAGGATTCTTGCTTAAAAGTTCAGGAGGTCCCACAAGGTCAAAGACGGTTCTATAAAGGTTCCATCAAGGCCCTATAAGCTCCAAGGGTGCTATACATGTTCTGCAGGCGCTCCATATCTATAAGGCTTCCATACAAGTTCCAGAAGGGTTCCATGAGCGTGTTCGAAGGGTTCTGGGAGGATTATATATGGTTTCGGGGTGTGGACTTGGGGTTAGGGCTTGGGGCTTCTTGATTTCCACTATCGTGGCTTTTCTGTGCAGCAACGGCAGCTTGATATCTCTGAGATCGTCGAACGTGTTGCAGCATCAAGCTTGTCAGCAGTCAAAGCACAGCATCAAGAACCGCAGGTCATACTAAACCCTAAACCGAAAACCCTAAACCCTATGCATCCCGTATCCCTCTATCCAGCATATTCCGGCTGAACCCTAAACCCCAAACCCTTGGGACCTTTTTGGAGTTTGGAACCTGAGAATTTCACAGAAAGCAGCGGTGTCCGAAGCCCTAAGACTGGCCCTAAGATTAAGAAGCCCACCCCCTAAACCCTAAACCCTAAACCCTAAACCCTAAACCCTAAACCCTAAACCCTAAGAAGCCCAGGCCCGAAGCCTCGAAGCCCCAAAGCTGCAGCCTGTGGCGTCGCGACAGACCCTAGCGGATGGACAAAAAAAAGGGTGCTGCTACTTTAAGCTCTGAGCTCACTTTGGGTTTAAGGTTTAGGGTTTAGGGTTTAGGGCTCTCAATCCCTAAGCTGTTTGGGTTTAGGGCTTATTGTTTAGGGCTCTTTATCCCTAAGCTGCTTATTTTTGGGGGCCTCCGGCGCTTAGACCCGTGTTCGCCGATGGACTTCGCTGCCGCTGACGCGCAGCTCGCCGCTGCGCTGGAGGCTCGTAGGGATGCTACTCTTAGGGTGCTACATCAAGGTACTGTAAGAGATCGACAGTTCTGCGAATTAGTCTTTTACTACTTGTTGTTAACACGGTTGTGGCGGGCTTGACTTTTTGATGTAATTAGGGTGTCGGTCATGGTTTTTGGTCGGAGAGCCCGGGATCATCAGGGAGCAGAGTTTTTGGCTGAAGTGGTTCTATGTACTTTGTAGTTATTCCGTAGGGCTCCTCCTTATAATTACAGCGTATTTTGTTCCAAAACCCTGTTCTAGTGATGAAGGCCCCTGTAGTGGTAAGTATATATGGTGGCTGCACGAAGGAATCCATTCCCTTTCTTGGCTATGGCGCTAAACCCTAAACCCTAAACCCTACACCCTAAACCGTAAGAAGGAATCCATTCCCTTTGTTGGCTATGGCGCATGGGAGTCGGGACCGCAGAGAGGCTTCAGCTGCACCGTTCCCCAACCCTGCACCCCCAATCTCTAAACTTCGCGGTCCACATCTACATTACGCTAAACCCTAAACCCTATAAGCCCCAAAACCCTGAACGCTAAACCCTATAAACCCTAAACCCTATACCCCCTATAAGCCCCAAACCCCCATAAACCCTAAACCCTAAACATTGGAATGACACGGGAGACTCACCTACCCAGCATTTCTAAATCGTCCAAGCTCCCCCAGAGTTCCGAAAGCCCAAACTCTCTGCTCCGTTTTGCTCCGGTACTGTGGAACGCAGACCGTGGGTTTAGGGTTTAGGATTTAGGGATTAATATAGCGGCCGAAATAATTGCCAATCCTATTGTGGGGATTCCTTATTACAATAATGTTACAATTTATCCCCAGACCCTGTTCTAATCATTAAGGCCCCTACATCAAGGTTTAGGAGTTAGGGTCACGCTTGTCAGATCACAGAGAACCTCTCGAGATAAATCCTGATCGCTTCTCTGAACACACCTGTCTGGATGAAGGCTGCTGGGCAAGTAACTGCGTCTGCTTTTGCACTGAAGTCTCGGCGGAGTTGGGTTTGTCCACTGTTTCGGGGGTGTTGGAGCTTTTGTAGGGACCTGAACGGTATAAACAGAGTGCCGGTCTTGCCATATTTATCTCCGGGGTACAATAAGAATAAATGCATACTACTATACTCGCTGCTGAGGCTCCTTTATCAAGCTCTCAAGCTTAAGCCACGCCCTGGACCCTGGAACTTGGCAGGACGTCTGTACGGATGCCTCTGCGACTCCTCGGCGCCATAGCCCCGGCTCTGGGTATTATAGAGTTTAGGGTTTGGGCTTAGGGCTTGCTGGGGACTGTGACCGAAAAAGAAGCCGGGAGACTTGCCAATACCGTACCTTACGGTTCCTTACGAAACATTGTGCTATTATCTACCCGCGAATCGTTTTCTACTCAATGATTATGGCACTGTCATTAGATGACGATTCTTCCACGGTTGAACCCGGCAAATTAGAACACGATGGTGGAGCTGCGCGAAGGCTCGGTGTTTCACGAAAGCGGGATCAGGTATAGGCTCTGTTATTTGGCCTGGTGATGATGGCTATTCTGATTATCAAGATCAAGGTTTTTCAACTTTTTTGGACTTGTTGTCATTGGTTATTGTTGCTAGCGTCATTATTATGATGACCTCAAGCTTAATGATTGTCAGTTTCAGTTGAAGTCTTCTTCTTCCCATGGTAACAAAGCGCATTTAGCTTCAAAGAGAAGTCGCCTTGACACGTTCCCTAAACCCTAAGCGCCTAAACCCCAAAGCCTAAACCCCTAAACCAGACACCCCTAAACCAGAACCCTTCAAGCCTAAACCCAATACCCCTAAACCCTAAAACCCTAAAGCCCTAAAACCCCAAACCCTAAGCCCCTAAACCCTAAAGCCCTAAAGCCCTAAACCGTGAACCCCTAAACCCCTAAACCCCTAAAACCCCTAAACCCCCAAACCCCTAAACCCTAAACCCTAAACCCCTAAACCCCCAAACCAGAAGCCCCTAAAGCGTCCATCCAGGCGTTCTGGCAGCGGTGAGCGAACGACAGGTCCGGCGCTGGCGCGCGCGGCCTTCCCGGGCCACCGGGAGCTTCGAGAGGTCTTCCATGGGAGGGTTTAAGGGTTTAGGGTAAACCCTAAACCCTAAACTCCATGGGTTGAGTGGTTTAGGGTTTAGGGTTCAGGGTTTAAAGGTTTAGGGTTTAGGGTTTTGACCGAGAAACCCTAGACCCTGAACCTTAAGCCCTAAGCCCTAAACTCTCAGCCCTAAGCCCTAGTTTAAGAACGCCGCATGTGCAGGCTTCGACCAGGGACTGCGCTTGCGCTGCTTGGGGCACTTCGTTTTGGACAGGTGGTCGGGAGCCTGTTTGCCTTTTGGGTGTGCTTTAGGGTTTCGGGTTCTGGATCAAGGGTTTAGTATAGGGTTTCGGGTTCAGGGTTTAGGGTTTAGTTTAGGGTTTATGATTTGGGGTTCAGGATTTAGGGGTTTAGTATAGAGTTTAGGGTTTAGGGTGCAGGGTTTCGGATTTTTAGGATCCTTTTTGTAAGGATGCCGTACTACATTGGGGACCCAAAATGGGACCATAATTTAGCCTTCAGGCCGGCTGTAGCATTGAAAGATCAGGGAATCTCTCGCGTGGCGAGCTTCACCGCGAAACCCTACACCAAACCTCAGCCCTAAAGCCTAATTCCTTTCCGAGACACCCTTATCCCTTATCCCCAAGTCTAAGCCTACTGAAGTGTTGGATGGGATTTTGGGTTCCGGCTCCAACCAACCCCCCCTTCCGCACTGTGTCCGGCACTGTGTCCAGCTCAACCTGCTCCAGCTCGGGGAGGGGAGGGAGGGGGGGGGGGGCTGTGGGTTTGTCATTCCGTTTTGCAGGGGGGGGCTCAGTCTACACAGGGGTCCCAGGTTTAGGGTTGAAGGGTGAAGAGCTGGGTGGGTACCACTCAGACTTTGATGATGGCGATAAACCCTAAACCCTAAACCTTAAACCCTAAACCCTAAACCCTAAAATGGTGATGACCACGGGAGTTGCTTGATACACTGAGAATCAAAGTAGCGAGCCCAAATTCACTCAGACGGTCCGCAGACATAAAGGAGTTTCCGAAAGTAAGGGGGTACCTTGTTTTGCGGTCCTTATAAGAAGTATCCTACTATGTAGGGTACTATAGTAGGGTCCCCTATTTGCGGAAACCCCCATATGACAGTTTTTCTACATAAGTGCCGCTGTTGCCTTTCACAAGCTTCTTTGTGAGCTCCGCAGCCCCAGGCCGTAAACCCACGAAGCCGCCAAGCCCGAAAGCCTCTACGCACACCCTGAACCCTAAACCCTAAACCCTAAACCCCAAACCCTAAACCCTGAACCTTAAACCCTAAACCCTAAACTTGCTAGAGTCCTAAAGCCTCAGCCAAAGACGTCTCAGCCTGAGCAGGTGGAGGTCGAACCATGGTGGCATTCTAGCCTGGGTTTTAGGGCTGATTAAGGATTGTTACGTTTAGGGTTTAGGGTTTAGGGTTTAGGGCTTAGGGTTTAGGGCGTGGGGTTTAGGGTTTAGGGTTTAGGGTTTACGGCACCAGGGGCATTTATACTAAGGTTACTGTGAGCGAGTGCTCCGTTCAGCGTGCCAGAGTCTCCAGCGCAGCTTCAACATGTCCTGCCTATACCTTAAGAACCCAAAACCTACTTTTTTGTAGGGTCCCTATAAATCCCATATGAGGGTTTATAATAAGAACCTACAAA